TGAGATCGCCTTTGTCTTTGCACTGATCAGAACTCGGGACCTCATAAAACACGTTCCAGAGTGTGCTTACACATAATTTTGTCCCCTTTATCACGCAGTATTCCTTCCTGGTGGATGCATCCTAACCAAGGAGCAGTACAAGAGCATGGAAGAGTTCAAGCAGAAGCCGTACATCACTGGATGGTAAGGCAGTGCCATCAAACCTACCCCACAAATACGTCAGAAACACCGTGTTCATTTTCTTATAGTTTGCATTGTGCACCAACAACCTACTGGGCTCACAACACAAAGCACTTGCACAATGGCAGCCAGCTACTTGTGTGACAATCTCATATTGTCGAGGCTCATGTCAATCTCATTATCAGCAGTACACATTAAATAAGCCTGGTGTAATTTTAGCTTTCTGCAAAAAACTACAAAATTTTGCTTTAATCATGATCCTAGTGCATGTTACCCACACATTTTTTTGTTTGTTATACCTTCTTTTGAAGTTCATCTATGAAATACCATACTTTTATAAAACAAAGTTGAGAATAATTGGCATGGATAGGCCAGTTTATGCTGCTCAGCGCAGAATGTATGATTTTGTACTTCACATTTTCTGTGTACTGGAACTGTTTCATATGATCATACTATTGTGATTGAGAGCGGAAGCTCCTAAGACAAGCAGCTAAACAAAGAAAGGAACATCTTACGTCAACATCGTCTATGTAAGCAAGACGTACGAAAGCTGTAGATAGATCACATCAAATGAAAACATTGCTTTAAGACCACTCTCGACCATCACATAAGCGTGGTTGCAACAAAAACCATGCCGGGATATGGCTATTTTTTATTCTGAAATATGATTGCTGAAAGGCTGCACAACGTGGTAAAAAATATGATGAGCTTAAATGACAGATTCATTATATAATAAAGAATGGCATTTAACATCCCAAAACCACCATATGATTATGAAAGACGCCATAGTGGAGGGCTTTGGAAATTTCTGGAGGCTTTGGAAATTTTTGGAGGGCTTCGGAAACTTAGGTGCACCTAAATTTATGTACATGGGCTTCAAGCACTTTCCCGTTCGTCGATAATGCGGCTGCCACGGCCAAAATTCGATTTCTGCTGACCCACGGGTCAGCAGTCGAGTACCATTACCACTAAACCACTTTCTTTTTTTGCCGTTTCCAAAGTTTGTTGTTAGTATAAATACGCAACTGTCTGAGAAATAGTGAGTCATCTCAGGATAGACTGCTCATAGGGGAGAGCTCCGAGTGCTTACATATGGCTTCTCTTGTTTCTTTAGTACGTGCAAGCAAGGCTCCGTGGAATGCAAGATCTCAACAGAAAAGAGCTTTGAACGCAGTGAGTATGCCTTGTCTTGCTCCGCACTAAATATTTTTTCCACACCCGGGTCATTAATGGTATGCTAAAGGTTTGTAACAGGTTAGAGGTCAATGATTTTTAAACACATTAGTCTCAATATGATTTGAGGCGTGGTGCTCCAAGAGTGCTTCGTAATAACATGGGCATGAATTTCTTCTGCTTGAAAGATATGAATTCCAGACAGTCCAAAAGGCATAAGCTCTAAAGGCTTGTGTCTACAAAATGAGTAATGCGGTATGCAGGCATGAGGAGAGGCCTTCAAATTGGACCCACTGCATTGAGTGATGAAACAAACACCGTGCTTAGCCATAAACCAAACAGTGAATGTACAAAGACAATTAAAACAGGAGAAAAACCTATGATTGAAGACGGAACCTTCACAACCACTTATCTGTCCTCTTTGTTTCATGATCATCTATGCATGGCTTAAGCTAGTTTTTTCCTAGTATAAGAATGCAAAGGCTGTCGTTCCAGCTTACAGCGGCCGTTTAGTCTCCCTTATAACTGCTCCTACATCAACCCCAAAACGATAACCCTGCTCTTGTTAATCTTCGGCTGAGGTTAGTCCACATACAAAGGGCAACAGATTTCTTTACTGCTTTTAAAGATCCCTGAAATGGCCTTTTGAAATTATGTAAGTGGTTAGGCTACGGCTATCCTCTAACAAGCTGTTTGTAGCACAATGGAAGCTATGGAGCTGCTTAGCCAATGGGAAGAGCAAACACAGCTTACGATCTATTCATCTGCGCCACGTGGTCATGTGGTCTCCTCGGCATGCCTGCAGCATCTGCGCTCATGCGTTGGGCGAGTAGAGCAAGCAGATGATAGCAACAAAGACTCAGTATTGCGCAGCAGCGGCAGCGCCACTGCTGCCCTACACAACATGCATTGGGTGAGAGAAGGGAGCACTTGGTAGCATCCTACGCTCTTAGCCGCTGATCATTAAGGGTAACTAACTGGATTCCCAGAGAAGGCAAGCGGGTTAGGGGGAGACAGAAGGTTAGGTGGGCAGATGAGATTAAGAAGTTTGCGGGTATGAATTGGCAGCAGCAAGCACAGGACGGGTTAACTGGCGGAACATGGGAGAGGCCTTTGTCCTGCGGTGGACGTAGTCAGGCTGATGATGATCATAATGGTGATGACTTCGACAGCAGTGTATTTGTGTCTATACTGCGCTGTTTCAAGATTTATTCTTAATTTTGGGGCACAAGACTTGAAAGGTGTGGCTGAACAAACAGCTTATCTTAATAACAAGGACAAAACATCCTGACACTTTGTCCTCGACATGAGATGACATGAAGCAAGAGCCCATTCCGCCATTTATTTGTTGCTGTCAGGGCACTGGTCAAGTAGCGAGCACGAGGTCAGATCAGAGCGGCGGTTGCATATGGATGGGCACTGCCGCATTGGTTCGCCACCAAATTATAAGCACCTCCTGATACAATTAAATGCTGATAACGTATGCATGAATCGCGACTAACGTATCATGTATTGCTGTGACTTAGGATATTCCAAACAAATACAGTTGACTCGACCTTTTCCCACTACCACACAATTACAAACAGAACTATGTTTCGCTGTGTAAGCATGTGGTTTACATATGCCTGGTGCTTTACATATGCCACTATGCTGCAACCAGCTTTTGAGATAGAGTGTAGAGTAAGTAATTTACACTGTAATTTAAGAGGTAGGGGCAGTTATACTCCGTTATAGCCTAAGAAAAACGTCACCTCCACCAATAGCCATTGCCGTTCCTCCCACAGACAGAACTTGCATAAATGCTTCATCCAATAGTACTTTCTCATTTGTCATGACACCAAGCACTTATCCAGTGCTTCAGATATAGTCGACTTTCTCATATAGATACGCATCTGTGTCGCCGGTTTTAGGTCAGAAACTGTGAGGTCCCAGTGAATTTGGTTAAGAATTCTGCCATCCCTGTTGAGCCAAACATTATGTTTCAGGTAGTAACAATGAACCGTTAGCTCCTATATGAGTAGTACTTCATCATCATCATCATTAGCAGCCTGACTACGTCCACTGCAGGACAAAGGCCTCTCCCATGTTCCGCCAGTTAACCCGGTCCTGGGCTTGCTGCTGCCAATTCATACCCGCAAACTTCTTAATCTCATCTGCCCACCTAACCTTCTGTCTCCCCCTAACCCGCATTTTTCTCTGGGGAATCCAATTTGTTACCCTGAGTAGTGCTTAGGTCAGCTTATAAAGAGCACTTGCCGTTCGAACGAAAATCAGCTAGCATGGCTGTATTCCGCAGGTGAAACGCAGGTGCGCTGTAGTTCTTTAAACGATGCTGCCATTTTTAGAGCGCCACTCTTAGGCGCCCGTTCCTGCGTTGAGCAGCGTCAGCATCGTTGTAACTGGCAAAGAATGAGCACAAACGAGAACAAGAGAGAGCAAACGTGGAGCGCAGTGGAGGATGAACAACAATGACAGCGAGGGGAGTGGGAGGAGGAGGGAGCGTCGGTTGTTTCTGTGACGATAACATAGTGAAAAATGACCATTTGCCTGCCCCCCCCCCAAATAAATCTACCTACACCCTGCTTCCACATCACTAAATTATGTGGTCGGAATGTCCAATGATACCATATACGAAAATAAAGCTCTGCATAAATGGACGCCTGCCTGCAGTGGCTGTTGTGGAACATGTCCACGCGCTGCTTTCTGCAGTATCCCGATTATCGAGGCAGCTGCGCTATGCTCAGGCTGCGGCTATTGATGCGAAATGGGCTGCATGGAGTTGTCAGTGCCAGTCACGCCATTCGCAACTTCTCTTCTTAATGTAAATCGTACACCTACACACAAAATGGTCTCAGTCAATTTTTTCTGAATGGTGAAAAATGCAACTGGTGATAGTGTGTTGTTTTCTGCTTATGATAAATGAGGTGCCCGTCCAAAGGCTCTATGCCATCAATGCCAAAATCCTCCGGAGATGCGTGCTTCTGAAAGCAGAGAAATTTGCCTCAACTTACTGTAAAATCAAGACACTTATACAGCAGCACTCACAATTTGCTTTAGGCAGCATCATAAGCATTGCTGAATTTTTTTCTCAAGTTTTTAACCAAGTATAGAAGTTACTCCCCTCCAAAGGCGTGATTTTTCCCCTCAACATCCTTACCGAGAGCACATGTTAAAAAACGTATAAGTTACACACTTAATACAGAGCACTTAGCACAATTAATGAGCACAAGACCCAGTATTAATGCTTTGTACGTTTGTGAACAAACATCAAACCCACTTTGGATTCGCTTAGAGAACTGTAGTTTGTAAAGTAGCTTTGGTAGACAAAGCCACATCAATTAATCCTGACCGCAAAAAAAGTTTCTTCCACAAGTGAGTGGAAGCTTTTATTTCAATACATGGAATGTGATGACAGTGCTGCTACGTCTTCGTGGCATCATGAATGGCCTGTTTATTTCAGCAGTCTAAACCGTAATCAGCATTTTTAATAATCGAGTGTTCTTTGTTCTTTCTAGCAGTTCCAAGATTTCTCTCAGCTAAAGGTATAATTTCTCCAGAAGTCACTGTTTACTCTTAATATAGGCACAATCATAATTCTGCACACCAGGTAAAAAAGAAAGCACACTATACAAGGTACTGAAATACACGTACATGCAAGCCTGTACCCAAGGAGGGGGTAGTCCTAGGCCCCCCCCACACCGAAATTGCAATAAAGGGGGTGTTCTACAGAAGACAATAAAAAAAGGCGTTTTTCAAGGCATTCAACACAACCGACCCCCCCGCCCCCCTCTCCCAAGAATATTTCTGGCTACGGGCCTGGATACACATATTACAAAGTAAAATAAATTACTTCGAACATTCTTAATCATTTTGTACGAAATGTCTTTGCAATCAATAGGGGAGACATAAAAAACATTGCATATATTTTACCCAGCCCATAGCACAGACATACAAGGATCATTACGACAACACTGGTGTATAAGCGTGCATGGTTTAAAAATTATTGCACTACTGTTAGCAGTTAGTGAACACACTCCGCAACCGCAGCAACACATTCATGGTGAAAGCCAGCTCACTGCAACATTCTTTTTCTCTGCAGAACGACCAAAGAAGCGGTGATGATCAGCGGTGTTCCCAAGCACATCGTCTAGGAATCCATCATCTGTATATAGTGTACATAGCGTGTAGAAAGGAGCTTGGCGACGTGTTGAGATTGGTGACACTGCCTTGACAACAGCTCGGAGAGCAGCGTCAACCTGCACGAGAGGCCAGGCATGACGATTCGTGACATCGGTGTTGAGAAGCCTGTATGAGTGTGTGTCGAGGCTGGAACAATGCCCTGATTCTTTTAGTTTAATTGTATGTGGTAATGCGTTCTCGTTAGTGTTGGCACTTGGTCCGCTCTGTGCCGAATATAATGGTGGTACAACATGACTTACGGCCTCCAGAAAAAAAGTGATCAGAGTTCCAGTGGAATGGAAAGAGAACCTAGTGAAAGATTTTTTCAAATGCTGGCGCATGGGGCTTTGCAGAGTGATGAGATGAAGATAATACACAGCGAGAATCGTAAAGTGCACAGTGCCAGACAAGAAACGAATTTTAATCTCGTTCCTTCCAGGAGAGATAAAAAGGTGAATAAAAATTAAACAGTAAAGAAAACAAAATTATCAAAAGAAGGAAGCAGAGCGTCAGTGGTGAGCTTCTGGTGCACTACCTCCTTTCCTGGGTGTGACAAGGCAACGAGTGGTAACTGATTTCGTTTGATCTTCTGTTCATCGCTGTTTGTCTCCCAATCCATTTTATTCTACAGATGACATTGCTTTTGAGTCAGGGGCACTGCCATTTTGGGCTTTTAGTACATGATTTATTTCGCACAGTTCCTGACGTCAAACGAACGAGGTCACAAAATGCCACACACGTTTGTACGGCCCTTTTCGTGCATCTGAGCTCGCTATAGTACCATTCATCAAGTTGGTACGGATAAAATACGGCAACATTCACAGCCCAAGATGGCAATGCTCGAACACATTTATAACAGTTTTACATCAATCTTATTACCATTTCCTTATCGTGTGTTAATGCTAATGTTAATTGAAGCTATGTTTCACTGTAGTGTTTGGTTTCCGGATACACTTGCACTTCAAGTGTGTCTTAACAGACCACAAAGAACTATGTCAGGAAAGATTAAATGCTTAGAAACTAGGTACGAAGCTGCTATACATGTACTACTATGTGTGGGTTAATTTTTCAACCACGTACCCGTGTGCAGGGAACAGAATCACTGCATCATTTCAGCCCAAAAAAATTGAAAAGGCAGGCACTCAATGTGCTAGCCTTGGCGTAAGTCTGACACGAGAAAAAAAAATGTTTCCGTGGTTTTCACGTCAGCGAATCAAGGTGTGGTTGGTTGTGATGGATGGGAAAAACAACAGGGGCAATGCATCTTTTTCTTTTTCTATGCTTTATGATAACAAAGTGCCTTGTGTGGTGGTTGTGATCAATGTTGTACTTTGTAAAAATACAACCATTCATCCGTGAAATTAGCCATATTTTGTAGAAGTGTTGTCGAAATTAGATGAAATTTAACCTTCTCACGCGATTAGCTTCTGAGCCAACTTTTATAGAATATGCAGCAATTTGTGTTTTAAGGCGTTACGAGTGAGCCTGACACCGTCAAGCTCATTTAGTATATCAAGGTACACGTACTCAAGCATTTGGTTGGATCACTACCAATGGTGGAAAACAGAGCAGCCCTCATACGGAATTAATGTGAGAGTCACTAAGAAATTCGTACCATCTCTCATTAATGTATAAGTTCGAGTTAAGCCAGAAGAGCTTACGTGTTGTGTTCCACTAATCCTCCCATTCAAGGAATAGCTGAGTGAAATCGTGCTGGAGTCACACGAGTAGCTATGAGAGCATTTCGCTAAGGTGCGCAGTAGCCAGCTGTCACACTGACTCGGCCGCAGAGAAGTGTAGGTTTTGCTGGAAAGTATGTAATTACTGCAACAAAGTAGTGTGTACTAGCATATATATATTTTAACTGCTCTATACGAGATCACAGCTCTGGCTGCCATTACCTCTAAAACACAAGAATCGATTCAGACCAAGATAATCGATATACAATCATAGTACTAATGTAATGCTGACAAAATACTCCACTTCTCGGACATCTGTCGATCAAGTTCTCCAAACGAGGAAAAAAAAAAAAAGCCAAACCGCACCCGTGCACTGTCCTGCAGAACATAACTAGTTTCAGAGAAAAAAAAAATAAGCTCCACAACAACTTTCTGTGCAATTGTGATGCTGTATAGAAAGCGTGTGTGATTTGTTTACGATTGTGCGTGTGTTGTCAAGTTTTCAGTCCAATAAAAGTGAGATGTGAATAAATGAGTTTGTAAAAAAAAGCAAAAACAGAGAGCTTGCCTGAATTTATGCTTCCGACCAATCAATCTCTCCCTCTTCATCAGCTCGTGGCGAAGGGGAGTGCCGCTTTCCTGACGTTCTCCAGTCCCAGGGCAGGACAATTACAGAGTGGACAGGAGTACCTCGCATCTGCTGTAACTTGGCTCTGCGAGAAAAAAAAAAGGAGGCGTAAGGTGTTAATAGAATGTCCTAGCTGTATATGTATCTAGGTAGACCTCTGACATTGCTACAGCCAGACGCAAATTCAGAAAAATTCAGCAGACCTTGGCCTATTGGGGGAACGGAAGCAAGTGAAGCTTGGCGTGTGCGTGCCTGACGTGCTACTTCTCTTCCTTTCTTTCTACAGCATTACAGAATGCTCCCTCCTAACTGTTTTCCTCCCTACTTGCTGGGAATTAGACCTTCACGCTCCTACATAGCAAGCATAACACTTCAGTTTCTACAGGCAGCAACACCGGTTGTGCACTCATATCCAGGCAGCAGTGAAATGTCGCAACGCAAAATGACAAGTCACCTTGATAAAGAATCGGATTGCAGTATCGAAAACGAATGGCCGCCAACAAGCCCACAATTAAGAGAGCACCACTTATTGAGAAACGGCCTAGGCAATTACGCATGTGACCGGCACACTTTTACAGGCCGTGTTTATGTAGTCGCCGGCACTGGGTTTCTCATGAGTGATGACGAAACCTGCAAATTATAAAAGCTTCAGTTGATTAATATAAGGTCAACCCACAAAAACGTAGCGTGCCTTTTCTTCACCCTATTGAAAGAGTGCTGCTTTTCATTTGAAGTTCAAGTACAACCTACCATGTTTAAGTAGCACGCACGAGCAGAGACTTTTCTGTGCATTGGCACCATATGATGGAGCTAAGTTGCAAGCAGGGTGAGGGTAAGCACATGCCCACAAAATTTACTCAGCTGGGGCCATCATCTGATAGGATATTGGTCTGGAAGAATGTCACACTATATCAATGCAATTCACACAAGCCGGCACCATAGATAGGCAAATGGTTCTGCTCAAATTTCATGTTCCAAAGATAAGCATTGGAGCAAGCAATCAGTAAATGAAATACAATAATATTTCACAGGCCACCATTTATGATATAAGCCAAAGAACACAGTTTTTCTCAAGTGCACCAATATGGGTTGATGTCAAAGTTTTGAGGGTCAAAGTTTTCTTGCAAAATCTGTCCCTGAAATGAGTATTATTTTATTGCTGTAACAAATTCTTCAGATTAATCCAGTTAAGAAAAGGAATTTCTAAAATTTTTCTACTGACCGTGACAAAGTGTTCAAGGTGGCAAATAAGTGCACAAGGTGGTAAAATAAGTGCACAAGGTGGCATCAGTAGAAACACGAGGAGGGGGGGGGTTTGGAGGGAGAAGCCACTTTCGATCTAGTCAGCATTGTCTCGCCACGCTCGCTTTTGAGATCTCAGTCAACAACATCCGAGTCTTAACTCGAAAGTCACTCCTCATACGCCGAACTGGCATGTACTGAATCAGATCATGATTTGGTAATGAGCGGCATTTTAGAGGAATAGTCACTAGACTTACTTATGGCAGAGAAACCAGCGAGTACTTTCACAGTGAAAGCAAACTTTGCGGGTGAAGGCATTGAAGAAAACCGCGTAGTTGTGAGCGCACCCGGAAAATTAAAACAAGTCCGAAACCCATAATTTTTCGTCTTACTCCCGTGACGAAAGCAGTTTTTGCGAGTCCCCAAAACTAGAAACGCAACCACATGAGCATCGTTTGTTTCAGTCAGTGCCTGAATGGAAGCAGGCGTAATCGCACACTGGAGAGCATTAAACGAGAGAGTAACAAGTCTGCCACTTTTTAAAAGATCCTGAACTGGACAGCCATCAGTCTTACGGGGGCAATAAGTGGGAACCGGCCAAAGAACAAAACCGGAACGAGCCTGCGCACCACTGTACTAAGGCATACCAAAAACCAGAGAAACATGGATGCAAGTAAAAAATTCCATATATTCCCACATTTTGCAGCACGTGCCAAACAAGAGAAATGATCGAAAAAGGCATGCGTTTTAAACATACCGGAAAGGACGCGCACGCAAGTCTTCGACTGACTTGTGGCTTTTGACAGATGATGTACATGTTCGCCTTTGATGATGTACATGTTCGCCAAATGTTAAAAAGGAGTATCGCAGCAAAAAATGGGCCCAGCTAAGCGCACTCTTTGAGCATGCGTTTACTATCCTCGTCCTGCTTGCAACATGACTCCGCCTTATGGGGCTGATGCCCACAAAAGTCGCCACTCGCACCCGCTAGGCAAAGATTAGGGCAGCTGTAGCATATGTACTTGCTTTCTTTCAATAATAAGTACATAGGAAAACAAATGCTTGCTTTCTGTGAATAAAATGCTATGTTTTACTGAGCACTCATAAAAGAACCTCTGATAACATTTTTCGCGACATTAAAGTTTTCTAGTTAAAACTAGGGACAAGATTGTGGACACATATGGCAGAATTTGGCTACGCTAAACCTGCAAAAGTGCTTGTCATCACAAAAATATGCTAACACCAAAGGATGGAGCGTGTACTTTTTGTGTGAAATGGACATGGCTAAAGGTAAAGCTTATACTTATATTTAGATTGTAACCGACTACAGCGAGGTATGCAAACTGTAGTTGTTGAGGTTGGAACAAATACAAATCAAATAGCATCAGAAGCACATAAGCAAAATAGAACACAGGCTGACTAACCCAATCTGATTGTGGAGCAAGGTGTGGGAGCGGGCTAGTTGGTATTCCATGTTTTTTACAGCTGAAGCACAAAAGAGTGTACAATGAACTAAGGGTCTGTGGACCCAGCCATTTCTCAAACTGAGAAGTACAAGGACTTAGGTTTGATTGACAACCGTGGTGGTACCGAATTTCGATGGCAAATAAATGCAGAACCGCCTGCATGCTTAGACTTAGGTGCATGTTGAAGAACTCCACGTGGTTCCAAGATGTACCTCATTTTCATATAATAACTTCGTCATGTCAATCACCAGAATTAAGATTGTTTTAACGATTCATTCCACACTATGAGTGCAAATGCAAAATCATCTAGTGCAGGTGTCGACAACCTGCGGCTTGCAAGCAGCATGCAGCCCGCGCCCGGCAGAACGTGGCACCCTCTCTTTTTGCCACTTCCTACCTGAAATCCGACATGACAGTTTTGACCTCAAATGATGTTAAACAGGAACAAAAAAAGAAAAAAGATTTCTTTCAGCTGGCATTGTCTCCTATGTTCACATTACCCAGCTAACGTCTTCATTTTTTCACACAAGACCGAAAATTGGGGAAGAAAGATTCTTTGTGGAAGCATTAGATCAGAGAAGGCCCTTCATTCACAGAAAAAGGAAGCTGGTACACGACATGCTCGCAGACTTTAAGGTTTTTGAGCTCAAACTCAATCTTTTCCAAGAGCAGGCTAGTGAGTATAACCTTGATGCAGAAGTGCTGGAGGAGAAATGAGCACACCGATTCCCACAGAAATACTCTGATTTTCAAAACATTCGAGTAGCGTTCAATCCTTTCAGAATCTTGTTAAGGTAGGGAATATGTACCAGTTAGAACTTGAAGATCTGCAGGCAGATGGTGAGCTGAAAGACGCATTAGAAACTTGTTTGAAGCTTGCACAGTAAAGTTTTACACATGGCCTCATAGACTCAAGTAGTTCGATAAGAACTTGTTGCTTGTTGAGTTGGTGATTACATAACATGATGATTTTAGTGCTACAAAAGATGTACACAAGTGAGAGAGAGAACAGACACCTGTCTGTGCCTGTCTAGCACCTTTTCTGTCCTTTGTTTATCACATGTGTGCATCTTTTGTCACACTAAAATTACCATGTTAAGGTATTCGAGTTTGAAGTAAATAGCAGTAGCCATGATAAGCAGTGTTTGGCAGTCCATATGCCTGCAAACTGTATTTCTTGAGAATGAAGTTCGCCAAATTGAATGTTTGTTTCAGACTAAACAATGAAAATCTCCAAAAATTCTGTGCCTGTCTGTGAGGAACCTTGCTGTAGATATTTGTGAGTTGGGTAGGAATATTCAACACCAAAAGTCGCATTGAAAATGTTTTTTGCTTGTAACTTATGTTTGTAAATTGTAACTTATGTTTGTAAGTTGCAACTTAGTGACATATGTGCTGAAAATAAACGTGATTTCTATTGCAGTTTTGCCCATTATTGTCAATTTTTAGACTATGTTGTTCAAAGCTTGTCACCAATAATCGGTCAGAAATATACTCGCATGCCAGACTCTCAAACAACACAAGCATCTCAAGTTTCCAAATTTGGTGCCGGGGGTCTTTTAACGTAATGGTGCTCAGACACGGTGGCGTTGATGACATTAAGGCAGTATATAATCACATAGCAGTCAACCTGTTTCGCTGTGATAATGATACCTCTGGAATGTTTTCAGCATCTGCCCATTAAGGAGGAAACAGTGTGACATCACAAACATTGCAGCCTACCAGGTTGGTACTTCTAATGTGGTGGAGTGTGGTGTGAAATTCAAGAGTAAAACTTAATAGTATCATCACTGTCTCCTCTGACAGTGAACCTATCATCGTAATAGTATTACTTCCAATCAAAGTCTCAAGGAATAGTTAATTACCGTGTTTTCTTGAATGTAACGGCAGTCTTTTTTTCTGTAACATTTTGCTACCTCAAGTCGAGCCTTGCATTGCAATCGAATAACGAAATTCACAAAATTCAAGTAGTCTAAAAAATGCCGTGATGCACCTAAATCCTTCATTTTTGTTATATTTTTTCTTCCTGTACGCAGTGAAAAGACACCCCTCGCGTTACAATCGTGGTCGCGTTACGCGTGGATAAATGCAGTGGTCTAAATTTATATATTGTTTAATATAACAGTTGGCTACTAGGTACTTTAGAAGGTTAGAAGGCCGCAGCATTCTCACCTAAAAGGCGGATGTACACAAGCCTGCACAAATGGGTGTGCAATTTAGATTGATGTCATATTCCGCATGGTTAATGACCCTGCTGTCGGAGAACATAGCTGAATACAAGAGTTGGACCATTTCTCTGGCTACGGGGTGCAATATCACCTGCCACACTTTGGTACTCTGAGTGGGGTTTCTTCAGGCTTAAGCTGATTCCAACTACTGTACCTTACCGATGATGTGTTGGAGATGTTAATCTTGCTTATTAGCTCGCATACTACTGCAGCTGCTGGTTGATATCAAAGTCATACCCAATGTGCACACCTTGCTGTGCACGTTGCTACGACCGTTTATAACGTAGCACATTTACACCAACGAGGCAGGAGCATTCCATGTTGTAGTTGAGCGACTTACCGCAATGCAGTAATAGCAGAAGACGTGCCTGCAGCCGATCTCGTGCGGTTGCGTCGGGCGGCCACCGCAGATGCCACACTCGGCCATGTCTCCTCGTGTCCGCTCGTTCGGATGAGTCGGACGCAACTTGCGGCGCAACAACTGCCGACTCACAAAGTTCTTGGCTGGGTACACGTTGACCAGAGGTAGAAGAAAGCCAATGAACTCCTGTGGAAACATTTTACCAACAAAATTGAAATCAAGGGCTGAAGAAAAATAAGGTAGTTAAATGGCTCCAACAATATTTAAATGGGACAGTGTAAAAAAAAAAAAACAAGCTCACTAAGACCCACCCAAAAAATATATATTGCTCGTAGGGCTCACTCGAACAAATTCACAAACATTTTTCTCAGGCGGACTTACTGGGACTTGCAGCCTGATCCAAGTCCGAGTTAGCTGACTAAGGAGTGCATTAATGTGTAACTACATTTTTCAATTATGGTGCCAATGCTCTCTAACGCCGCCATCTCACATATTCGGTGCTCAATGTGGCACATTTTGATCTTGTACCTTCAAATACAACTTATAAACGATTCCAATTCAGTAAAAAAATTTTTATGAAACATTCGACTCGCATGAGATAATGTTCTCAGGAATTCCACGAAAGAGTTTGGGAGGGGGGGGGGGTGAAGAAGGCACCCAGAAACACTCTCTCCATAATTAATTCACACCTCTGATCAATAAACAGTGATGCGCCATATGAATGTTACTAGTGTGTTGCAGTATGTGTGAGTAGACATGAGTGTAAACACGAGCAAACATAAGGCTGATAGCTATGTCGAAGTTGAATAGAGAGAACCATAGGTCGGCAAGACGTCGAGCTCACTCAGATTCACTAAAAATTATATATCCTGCCCGAGGCTCACTTTGACTCAGGCTCACCAAAAATTCCTAACACTGAATTCACTGGGGCTCAGACTCACTAAAATTTTCTCGACTCGACTTACTCGGGCTCAAGCTCACCCAAATATAACTCGCCCGAACTTACGCGCAGCCCGATCTGAGACTGAGCGAGTATGTCAGCCTCTGTGGCCCACAGCTCTACCACAGAAGAACTTACAAGTCAGTTTGACGCAGCCGAAGTAACCCATCCAACGTACAATTAGGCCAAGAAGATCGTAAACAGTAATTACACCATAATTACAACCAATAATTAATGTCACCTATGATTTCATTGTCTCATGGTCCGTGGGACCCATTTAGTTGAGTCTAACAAAGAAACGAGCCTCACTGAAAAAAATTATTTTTTTTCATTTACCTACCAGTTAAAGAATTTCTTAATGAAATTCTGGCATTGCTTTCACGTATCTGCTAAAACGAAACTCTTTTGAAGCCCTTGAATGACCTTGCGGTAGAACACTTGGCCAAACTTATTGGTGTACTACCGCATCAAATTTAGTACAGGGACTGTTTTGCAACCTATCAGGCAGGAACATAGAGAGAACGATGTGTGAAGACGAGATGATAATACTCAGGTGTCCATAGGTTTCTCGCTGGGACACAACACAAGAAGCGTTACTGTATGTATATAGGCAAGAATAGACACACCAAACCATGTCAAATCTGAACGACATTGCAGCTAGGTACGACTGCTTTCAATAAGAGTAAACATCATCGCATTACTTTTGGTTTGCTTCAGGCTGCAGTTGTCTCCTAATGATCTACGGTTAAAGCCTTTATAATTATTTGCTGCAAAACAGCCCACTCTGTTATCAGGGTAGTGTGCCGTAACAACCACAATGCAGCTTGGTCAGAAAAAAAAATGTTCTTTGTTATACACTCATGCCTAACTATAACAAAGTTGCATTTTACACAAAAATAGGGTCATTGTAACTGATAATTCCTTATAAAGGTGTACTCCTAACACTTCATCTATTGCAAGACTGTTCTTCGCTTACTTTGTTATAACCGATATTTCATTATACCTGGGTTTGTTAAATCAAGGTTTGGGTGTACAGGTAATTTCAGCATGGAGGCATTAGAGTGCATTTCGGTCTATTCTGCCTCTGTCACCTTGTGCTAGTGTCCAGTGGATGATAACTTCTTGTTTTGTTTCTTTTTACTAGAGCACCCTACAATTCATATGTTTCTTAAGAACTGATTCTTTACTGCTGGCGCCCAGATGTGCCATGCCATTCCAGTGTATCCTTTAGGAACGACACAAACAAAACACAGTCTAGATAAGGGGCAATACGGTATACCAACTTGCTGTATGCCATTTCGCCAGTCATGTCCTATACGAGCTGTTCTCGAGCGATTTGCTCTGATATGGCACGTGCCAAGTGAGTGATATGGCACGTGCGCAAGCCTCTAATCTAGTACACTTTTTTTTTACACTTCTTAGCTAAGCCTCAACTTGTATTCATAACAGTGCTTAATCCTCAGGCCTTATACTGATGCTAAAATCACCAATACCATCTTGTACAAATTTTCCTTCCCAAAGCGAGAATGTGATTAGGGCACGCTGCATTGGTTGCCCATGTTTTCATCTCGTCACAGCTCAATCATTTCACCAGCGTTGTTGTTCTTCTACTTGTCAAAGCATAAACATTAGCACACCTATAGTGTAGCAACTCTTCATAGAGTATTATTACAGGAGTACCGACACAAAAATTTTTTTATCTGCATATTTTTTTTTCAGTGTCCATGAGTAGCTGATGACCAAATTACAATAATGGGAGACCTTGTTTGCACGCGTATGCGATGGTTAATTATATTTGAAGACATTCTTGTAGTCCCCCATCAGTTTCCCGTTTCAGAGAGCACAGAGAGAGGGATCAGGGTGGTTCTCTTTTAGTGAACACAGCTGACCATGCGACCACACGACAGTGTTAAAGCACGCTCTGTGCATTGTATTGCCTGCAGGTAAGTACTGCACTGACAACTGCAGCAGAGAGAACATGTGATGAGCATGACATCCAACAAAAACTCATGACACAGGTGGCTGCTGGTTGTTACATTAAAGCCAAGTTGACGTCAAAACCGTGAAGAGCTCCGTCTTGCGCTCAGTTTCACAACATACACATCGACAACAATTTTGAATGTTCCAAGACACACTAGCTATTGATACCTTGTAGCTTAGTAAGACTGCAAAACCCCGACTCATGCCAATATCTGTGCTTTGCTGATATCCTTCGCAGCAATCTGCGGAGTGATAGAAAATACCGATAGCAAAAATGTGTGCATCCTTTTGCATTTTCCAAGCACGAGAGGCTTGCTCCCTGCACAGGCTCAATAGAGCACTGATATCAACTTGAGGTCAAAAAGGCTGTGTGCTTGTATCTTTACTTACAGACTTACCCCACACCGCAAGTGTTATTACACCAAAACATATTCAGCAACAAGCTCCAACTTACCGCAAAGCCATGCCACAGAAGCTCCCGATTCATGAAGTCAAACTGAACCTGCAATGAGCAAGCATAACAGACATGCCACTATTGCTCAGATGCCCTTATCTTCCATATAAGTATCTATGCATTCATGCTAGATTTATAAACGAACTCGCCAGGCTGGAGAGAAAGGAACGAAAAAAGTATATGCAAGGTGAAAAAAAAATAAGCACACTTCAAGAAAAATGGTGGTCAGATTATGAAATGCTTCGCAAGTCGCAAAAACCAAAAAAGGACAATGCAGGTGTTTTTCAATACACACATGTACACACGATTCTAAGAACCCGCCTAGAATACCCAAAAAGTATTCAAGAAACCGAAATAAGGGGCCCTTTGCAGAGCCCCTCGATGGGTCCAGTTGCATATCTTGGTTGAAACACTGGAATATGTAAGGCACTGTCTAGGCTTAGTGGAAGAATTTGTCAAGCTGAATTTGCTACTGGAAAAGCTAATTACTATCCCACCTGCAGGAGAAGTGGCAGCGGTCCAAGAAAAGGAAAGACGCTTCTTTCTGCAACCCATCCGGGAGCACAGTGCAGGGCAGAGTGGCCAGGAGGAGATTAATAAGGAGTGAAAGAGGAGAGTGGGAACGAGAGGCTACCCTCTCAAATTACGAGCACCCACGGCACAGTGCACCACGCCGATGTACCTCCCACCCCATGAGAAAAACCAGCAAATGCCTGGCAACCCCAGGTATTGAACCGAGTGCTTCTTGCAAAGGAGGCAGATGCTCTGTGATTGAATCTTGGAATAACAACCACTGACAAAGCGAATGAGTGGCTACAGCGAACTAAATGCGAACTTTGCTTGGCGATGCATGATCCACAGGGTCATGAGGCAGTGCAGAGTTGTGAGAGGTGGGTAACAGTACGAGGACAGAGACAAATAGAGTGAGGACAGGCAAAGCACTGTCCTATCAGGTACCGTTTATTAGGTTCACAGACAGTAATACAGTTCGCGAATGAATAAATTCTGGTTAAAAGTCGGCGCTTCGTTTATCTCAGCCTGTCTGTCCCAGTCTTGCACTATTACCCAATTTTCCTAGTATGCAACAAACAGTGCAGGTTAACACAACACTCGTTAGCAGGAAACTCTCCATTATTTTCAACTTATTGTTTCTTTGTTGCGCACTTAGATGCGTGGACACAGGCTCTTTCACATTTTTCTCCTGTTGGCACGTGGCCATCATGGAGGAAGAACCAGACCCACCTTCCTAAGCTACCCATCAAGACCAGTTGTATGATTGGTAGCTTACGCTTTCCTAAATAAATCTGCTTTTCAACTGGATTCATTTGCCTTCCTCGTATGACGAGACACGGCTTTAACTCGTGATGTGGCTTACCTCGCGTAACATAGGTCGTGCTGAATGGCCGTTGACAACGCCGACGATCCTGTTGCTCAGCGAGCAGTAGCTCCCTCGAACCAGAAACAAGACGAAGTTGGCCACGGAAGCCACGCGAACAGCTGTTTCCAAGTGGCGAATTCCATGCTCAACCTGTATGGAGACAAGAAGATTGCATAAGAAAAGGTACAGATGATTAAAGGGAACACTTTCATGAATAGCATGTGTGAATTTCACTCTCTTGTAAAAGCACAGCGGCGTAGATTTGCACAAGACTGCAGGAGGTTGACATTTCTGACTCGTTCTGACAGATTTGTGCAGTATACGACCAATGTTACGACGTCCACAAGCAGATTGGCGAAACAATATGAAAGGTGCACGTTTGGGTGCTCTCGTTGGCAATTGAATGTGCACCTTTCATACTGCACACTGTAAACTGTGTTGTTCACCCAATTAACTGAAGTAGCGTTTCATGTATACCATGAAATTTTGAGCAGGAACGTCATGCTAAAGCTATTATCAAATTCTGACATTCTAGTGTGCCCCCCCCCCCCCCCCCCTTTCTTTCTGGACCCTGATCATGCACCATGTCTATGCAACACTGACAAGGTTGGAGGCTTGGGCTTGCTCCAAATCCAACAGTAAACTGATAGCATGACGGCACAGAAACATGAAAGAAGATGGCACAGTGCCAACAGTGCCCTATGAAGTCTTCTTCTGTCTTCGCATTGCTAGTCTACTGCCATGCAACATCGGCCTGCTTAAGTTTCATCCATATCCTGCTGCTTAGCAGCCTCATCTTCAAGCGCCTGCACGCGAGATTTTTAGTCAAAATTAAGATATTTTTCTTTCCTGAATAGCGGTAGCACCTTAAACTTTGCTACCACAAGACAAGCACAATTTGCAGAGTCTTGCAAGCAAAAACATGGCCTTCAACATTGGTACTTTAAGAAGGTACTTATGACAACATAATCAGCAAAAGTAGGGGCTCCGAGATCAGTGTTTCTTACTTGGTGCTATTGGATTTGCTTATTATCAGAGCTGATTCTATGCCATGCTTTCTACATTCTTACAGCATTGTCATTGTGTTACTTGTGTTTGTAAACAGCTATTGTAACTGAACCACGACATGAGTGACTATGAGGCTTCTGAAGAAGTTCATATGCCCTCTTTCTGTCTTTTTCATGGTGAAAAAAAAATTTTTTTTCACCATCATCTCGAAGTTTGGTGCGCTGTTATAAAAAGCCCCCATGTGCCCCCCCCCCCCCCCCCCTCTCACTCCGCACCTTCTCTTGTTTGCTGGTAATATTGACTTGTCGAGGGGTGGAGGGGGGGCTTGCTCAGAATTTTGAGTACAGCATCACGTGATACAAAGCAGTTGCGAAGTGAAAGCATGTTTGTTGACATTATTTCTTAGAAAATGAAGCACATACACAACATATTTAAACATACATTTGTTTTGTCGAATCCTCATTATTTTCAGTAGTCTTTCGCTGCCTTCTCTAACATCAGCAACTGCGCTAGATGCCCCTAAACTTTAGGCCATTGATTCCAACAGGTAGTCAAATCTTATTGGACACCAACACTCAAGAAAGCCTTTGGTTGGCGAGCGACCCCCCGTGATGCGACAAAGCACAGAAGAAGCTCTTTCGCATGCGAGTTCTCCTAACATACTGCTACGAAGGGCTGTCGGAGATGAAGAGGGAGACAGCAAAGAGAAAGACAACGCTCGCTGATATCCACGTGGACTTGGCTCTGCCTTGCATGTTTGGCATTACGTGTTTAGACACACCTTGTAAATATACTCTACTTCGCCTTTTTTCCCCGTAACATTTTAGTGGAGGTGCGGGTTCTCCCTTTCACCATCACGACGACTCTCCCTAGCGGACGTTCCTTGGCTGCCTTTGCTATGTCTGCTCAAGAGGAATACGAGGATGCATCGGAAATGTCTCCAACTGTGTCTTGGCCAGCTGGGCCTGCCACGCTGCAACAAACTGCCACTAACCGCACCATCGTCCTGACCCAACCACGCGACCCGGGCACCTTTTCCGGCATTGACAACTAAGATGTCGAGGATTGGCTTCAGCTATAAGAACGGGTGAGCGCACTATACAACTGGGACCCGACGCTCATGTTGGCCAATGTTCTATTTTACCTTGAGGGCACGGCCAAAGTTTCGTTTTCCAACCATGAGGAAGTGATCACCAGTTGGAACCTATGCAAACACAAATTCATCAACGTCTTCAGCAAGACCATTGAGCGTCGTCGTTCGGCGCAGAAAGGACTCGCGTGCCGACTGCAGTCCTTGCACCGAGTCATACGTGACTTACATTCAGGATGTGCTCGCCCTCTGCCGCACGGCTGATGAAAAGATGCCGGAATCCGAAAAGGTTGCGCACATTTTTAAGGGAATCCCGGATGATGCCTTCATTCTCCTGGTGTTCCGCAACTCGTCGACAGTCGACAACATTATTAGCGAATGTCGGCGCTATGAAGAAGCCAAAAATTGTCGCATTGCTCCTAGCTTTTCACGCCTACCCGACACAGCGGCAACGTCTAATTACGAGGATATCCATCCGCCACCTGCTTCTGCTGCAGGCGAGAACATTGTACGCCTTGTTCGCCGCGAAATCGAGGCTGCAGCTTCAGTCCCCATGCAAAGTCGTGGCCACGACGATTCCCACACGATTTCTTTAAAGGGGCCCAGAAACACTTTTTTCAGTAACCATGGAATTAATTCTCTAGAAAAGCGTATTGCCTCACAAATTCAACGCCGCAAGTATTTTAAGAATCCGTTCACTATGAGCGGAGTTACCAAGATTTGTCACACGCTGCAATTGCATTCTTTCTTCTCTCGTCCCGACGAAAGCACTGGAAGCTAAGCAAGAAGGGATGGAGGGGCAAATAAAGAACATCATGGGTGCCTCGTGACCTGGAGTACTTTTTTCTTTCTTCGAATGTGTGGCATTTTCAGTGCGATCGCGCACACGCGTGGACAAGTGACGGCCTCCCGCGGTGATCTCTGTAACGACCGAGCGCGCCATGTTCAAATCATCCAATGGCTGATAGATGGGCTTACTACGAGTGGTTTTTGTGCTTATTGCGTGATTTGTCGAGAAAAAAAAAAGCAATTTTTAGCTGACTTTGATCATTTACTATGAATTCCACGCCGCGTGCTGCGCTATAATATTTGGCTCGGGTGTTGTCAGGAGCCTCTACTATTAATTGGCAGCATTTTCTGACCATGCTCAAAAAGCGTAGCAGGGCCCCTTTAATACAGTCCGTTGTACGCCAGGAGCTTGCTAACATCGGACTCTAGACGCTCTGCCCCATGAACAGATCAGACTACCGTCCACCCTGTCCTCCTGTCTGCCCCGAAACTCGTACGCCCGTCCCCGGTACCAGAACCCGTCGGAATGGCAAACTCCTGACGACAGGCCCATTTGCTTCTATTGTGGACGCGTCGGCCACGTTTCCTGCCACTGCCATAGTCCCTGGAACTCGCAACTCTGGTACAACTATTCCAAAAATCAGCGTTCTCCAGTTCTCGACTTCCCACCCATGAAGACAATGCTGCTACACCATCCACGCCTTGCCGACTGCACCGCTCTGCTTCGCCGTCAAGTCACCTGTATTGCTCTCAGCTTCTTCGTTTGGACTATGCTCACAAGTTCTGTCCCAGGGTATCTCCCTTGCGTCCCTTGCCCCGGCCTGTGACGACCACATTTCCACCTTAACAGTGGATAACTTATCATCCACGAGTATTGATTTGGGTCAAACTGCTTTCGAAAAGATCCCAAAAATGATCACATCAGACCTTTCGGCTGAACATGTGCACGCTCTTCGTGTCCTTGCTTCATACCGAGACGTATTAGACCTTAACTGACCGAAAACTTGGACAGGACAACCATTGTGAAGCATCGGATCAATTACCGGCGATGCCAAATCGATACACCGGCGACCCTATCGCGTTTCTTCGACTGAGCGTCAAATCATACAAAAGAAGTCGACAAAATGCTAGCCCGGGACATCATAGAACCTTCTTCAAGCCCTTGGGCTTCCCCTGTTGGGCTCGTCAGAAAGAAGGACAATAGCTGGTGCTTTTGTGTCGATTACCTGAAACCTCAATAAGGTAACACAAAAAGACGTGTATCCTCTACCACGCATAGGATGACGCCCTTGACTGTCTCAGTGGTGCGAAATGTTTCTCTTCGATAGACCTTCGTTCGGGATACTGGCAGATTGCAGTTGATGACATGGACCATCAAAAAACTGTATTTATTACACCTGATGGCTTTTATCAGTTTAAAGTGATGCCAATCAGGTTATGCAACCCCCCAGCTAGGTTCGAACGAATGATAGACGCTCTACTACACGGTTTCAAGTGGTCAATATGCTTAGTTACCTTGATGATGTCACTGTCTTTTCGCCGACCTTTGCGACACACCTCGAGCGCCTCTCGACAATTCTTTTTATTTTCTGAAAGGGAGGCCTTCAGATCAACTCGTCGAAGTGTCACTTCGGCCGTCGGTAGCTTACTGTGCTCGGACATCTTGTCGATTCTTCAGGTGTTCGTCCTGATCCCGACAAAGTGTGCGCAGTCAAAGATCTCCCTGTGCCAACCTGTGCGAATTACTTTCGAAGCTTTGTAGGCCTCTGCTTTTAATTTCGAAGATTTGTGCGCAATTTCGCCATCATTGCACGCCGTCTAACAGACCTATTGAATATGGATGTGGTTTTTGTCTGGGGTCCTGAACAAGCCACTGCATTTGCTGAAGCTGACCATGCGCATCACTTCGCCACCGATTCTTGGCCACTTCACTATATCCGCTCCAACAGAAGTGCGAACCGACACCAGCGGCCATGGTGTTGGCGCTGTTTTGGCACAGCAACAGCATGGTAGTGACTGCATCATTGCATACGCTAGCCGTCTTTTATCACCAGCTAAGCGCAGTTATTCCATCACTGAAAGCGAATGTCTTGCACCTGTTTGGGCCATAGACAAATTTCACCCATATTAGTATGGTTGGTCATTCACTGTAGTCACGGACCACCACGCTTTATGCTGGCTGTCATCGTTGAAAGCCCCTGCCGGACTGTCCGAGACAGGTGGGCGTTGCGACCTACAAAAGTACTCATTTACCGTCGTCTATAAAACGGGTCCACAACACGAGGATGCTGATTGATTGCCTCGTCACCCAGTAGATCCACCAGATCTTCCTGAGAGTGGAGAGTCCATGTGCGTCCTGGCGGCGCTTTTCGCATTGGCAAACATCGGAGAGGAGCAACGACGTGATCCTCACTTGAGAGGGATCATCAACCAACTGAGTGACCCCACTACGCCTCCATAGCTTCGTGTGTTTGTGCTCCATGATGGTGTTCTCTTATAACATGCATACCCTTACAACGTGCATCTCGACGCTCCTCACTTGCTGCTGGTCATACCTACACATATGCATCAGATTGCTTCTCGCGCAGTTGCATGACATTCCTACTGCAGGTCACAGGGGCATCTTAAGAACTTACGACCGTGTTCGACGCCGCTTCTTATGGCCCGGTATTTACCGTTCTGTTTGTCGTTACGTAGCTTCATGCAAATCGTGTCAGCAATGCAGAACACAGGCCACCCTTTGAGCAGGACACCTTCAGCCCATAGAGATACCATCTCAACCATTTTACAGAGTTTGTGTTAACCTCCTCAACCCTTTTCCTCTATCCATCAGAGGAAACAAGTGGATAGCTGTTGCCACCGACTACACGACTCGGTATGTGATCACATGGGCTATCCTCACCAGTTGAGCAACCGACGGTTATCCACTTTCTCTTCGAGGATGTCATACTTCAGCCATGGCGCACCTCGACAGCTCATTACAGACTGGGGTCAATACTTTCTATCAAATGTGATCCAAGACATTCTGTACGCTTGCGATACAAAACACAAGTTCCCCACTGTGTATCACCTGCAGACCAATGGCCTAACGGAGCAGTTCAACAGAACGCTTACGGACGTGCTCGCCATGTATGTTTCGCCGGATCATCGTGACAGGGACGAAGCTTTGGCGTTCGTAACATTTGCGTACAATACGTCTCGGCATGACTTTACAGGTTTCTCTCCATTTTTCCTCTTCTACGGACGAAAACCAACGCTGCCTTTCGACACGCTCCTTCCACCCGTTCTTGATACATCAGAATATGCTCGTGATGCGATCGTTAGAGCTGAGGAGGCAAGCAAAGTTGCCCGCTTTCAGCTTAACACTTCGAAAGAAAAGCAACGACAAATCTATGACATTCACCACCTGGATGTCCACTTCAATCCTGGTGACATGATCTTCTTTGAACATCCTCACAACGAGTTGGTCTTTGCGAAAAGTTGACTTCTCCATACTCTGGTCCATTGCGAGTCTTGCACCAAGTCACCGATGTCACGTACAAAATCGAACCTCTGGAGACCACCACAGCGCGATCATATGACATCATTCATGTCATGCAACTAAAGACGTTCCACTCCGACCGATCGAGCACCGGGTTGGTGCTTTCGCTGCCGGGAGTGATGCTATGAAGCGCTGTTGGAGATGAAGAGGAAGATAGCAAAGAGGAAGACAACGCTCGCTGATATCCGCGTAGACTTGGCTCTGCCTTGTATGTCTGGCGTTACATGTTTAGACACACCTTGTAAATACACTGGACGACACCTTTTCTCCCGGTAACAATACATTCATGAAAAAAGTCTCCCGAGACAGACTGGGTTAAGCCTAAAGAAGAAAGAGAGCAACCTAAGTTTTTTTACAGCACATCAATAGAAATGTGCATAGTGCCATCATAGTATGAGCCCTATGTAACTATTTAAGTCAATTAGATTACATACATTGTGCTTTACATGTACAGACATATACTTGTGACATACCGTAATTACTCGAATCTAACGCGCACCTTTTTTCCGGTTAAGCGAGTTCATAAATCGCATGCGCGTTAGAATCGAGTACGAACAAAAAATTACGGTCAATCTATTGCCATCGCAAATCCAAAATGGCCGCCCCCTACGTGCGTCGGCATAGTGCGTCGGCTATTTCTGCCTATGTGTTTACCTTGTGCGGCACTTCGTACGTGTGCTGAGGAGTTCGTCATCTAGTAGTGCATTAGCATCGACGACGTGAAAGGGCCGACTCCAAAAACTCAAGTGCACCACGATGCCGCTTTTAAAAGAAAAGTCATCGCGTGTGCAGAAACAGACGGAAGTCGGGCCGCATCGCGGTCGTTCCCGAAACGTGCGTGCGGGAGCGCCGGAAACAAAAGCAGAAGATTGTCGACAGCAAAGCTTCACGCAAAGGCTTCAGTGAGCCACAGCAGGGTCGGTTTCCGCAAATTAAAGAGCTGCTCCGCGAGTATGTGCTTGAGGAGCGAGCGGCACAGCGGCCCGTGACGACAGAACTGCTCCAAGTGCGGGCTATGCAATTAGTCTTAGAAAAAAGTCTAATGCGGAGCCAGTTTAAAGCGAGCAGGTGCTGGCTAATTAACTATATGAAGAGGAAAGGCTCTTCCCTTCGAAGGGAAACATGCACATGCGAAAACTTTTGCGGAGAAGTACGATGAAAAGCTTTACAGTTTTCAGAGGTTCGTCCTAAGCTTGCGGCGCAACAACGGCTACCTGCTTGGGCAAATCTGGAATGCCGATCAGACGCCTCTTTACTTCGACATGCCTGGCACCACAACTGTCGAGAAGAAGGGGGCAAAGCAAGTTCGCGTGCTGACATCGGTCCACGGTAAAACTACAGTGACGGCAATGCTCTGTTACACGTCAGATGGGCACAAGCTTCGCCCGTACCTCATATTTAGATGGAAGACAATCCCGAAAGGAATCGTTTTTTCGAGTGGTGTGATCGAGCGGGCCAGCGAAAAAAAATGGTTGCGCGTTGCAATCGATGTCTTACGTTCTTTTTTTTTTTTTCGCGGTGGAAATCGGGTGCGCGTTACAATTGAGGGCGCGGTAGAATCGAGTAAATACGGTATGTGCCTTTTTTTAAGCCATTCCCTTTCATCTGTTTTCAAACATCTGTCTATTACTAGCCTAGCTGACTAAGGATCCAGATAAATGATCATGATGTCACTGTACCATTCCTGTTTGCCATTAACTATTTCTTATTTCCATATGTAGATGTATCTCTTTGTGATCAAATAAGTCAGTAATTTTTTGTTTTAGAATTAGTCCTTATGCCAGAAATGAAGAAATTGTAATTATTATCATAGTTATCTCGATGACAGCATCACCTAACCAAATAAGGTGATGACTCACTTTTGTCAGATCTGCTGCAAAACTGCTATAGATAGTTTCGAGTGTATTATTTCTAATAAAACACAATTCATGACTGGTACATGCTGTCGCTACGAGGAGAAATGAGGTGCTTTTTGAAACCGTGCTTACCACCTGTGCAAAAGACGACTGAATATGCGCGACGTACACACAGTGGCAGATCCAGAAGGGGGGGGGGGGGGGTAGGGGCGATCGTCCACCTAAAGCCTGTCAGCATCCCCTCCCCCTCCCTTCAGTGCTTGCCGTCCACCTGCTTTCACCAGTTAGGACAAATGAGTGGGACCACTGTGAGCACACATTAACAGTAGTTACGCCATTACAGGGTTTTTGTGCTAGTAAAAACAAAGAAGTAAAGGTCATGCCCCCCCCCCCCCCTTTCCGGTGTTAATTCAAGCGGCTGCCCTTTTGAAGTGGGTGGCTGGATCCGCCCCTGCGTACACAGCTACATGCACCAGGCAGAAGTAATCACCTCCAATGGCCAATTAACGGACCTTGTTACGCTGCACTTGAGGAAGAAACCGAAGAAGAAGGTTCAGGCCTCGTTCCCGAATCCACGGCAAGCCAATGCTGAGAAGTATGAGAGCCAATGTCTGGCGCCTGGTAATGCGGCTGAGGCTTCTCCCGTTTGCAAAGAACTCCAGCCCAAGAAGTCTCTGGCCCACCGTGGCCCCACACTCGTACACAGTGAACTGAAAATGACAACAGAAGTTTTCGTGAGCACCGAATGAACTCTCAAGGAATCGTTTACTTTTTTGAAAGAATAAAGAAATAAGCTAATAAAGAATGTTGTTGCATGAATGAAAGAAAATCTAATGTCCATGCACAAAAACAAACAGTTTTTTTCTTAGACAATGGCCCATCAAATTCCGTTTAAGCCTAGCAGCTCAATCCCTCAGGGACAACCAAAAGGATGCCCCAGACACACGTCCTTGTTTATTGTCCACCACAATGCAACAAACATTAAAACATGCAATCCTCGTTCGCTGCCTTGTGGAAGCTTAAGAAAGGGACTAAATGGAACTTGTAGATTTTGATGCTTGGTCTGAAGGGTTGTTAAACTGAGCGTTTGGCATCCTGTATATAACTTGTTCTGCAATGTCCATTCACTCGGCACAATAAAGAATATGGAAGGACTGTTAGTCAAGTGAAGTCACTCGTATCTCTTTACTGTGGCTTTCCTTAGCAAAGTTTTAAACTCGAAGGCATTGTAGTTAAAATGCACTTCAAGGCAACACTTTATCCCAGGAAACCAATGAGACGTCGCTAAAACTCAAGTTCTTTGTCAGCTGAGAAGCCATGCTGTGCTCACCAGTGGTGTCGAATAAAAACTCGAGTGAGGCAGTTGTTTGTGAGCACTGAGGTAATTACTGTGTAATCATTGCATTCCATGAGCTCATTAAATGAAGCGAGCTAAAATATGATATTTTGTCACACACAAACCAGAGTTACTAAACAGTGGGCACATACAGTCAGATCGATTCAATAAACGAAGGCAATGGAGGAGAGGTAGGAAAATAAATGCCGAATTTCAATGTTCCTGTACATCAAATGCAATGCACATGTGCTCACTCTAAGCTCTGTTTGGCACACTTAATATGGTATTTGCAGCTGAAATTGGTTTCACGAATGTGCTGAATTAATCAAGATTCGTCAATATCCATATCATCCACTGCTGAGACACACTACGACTACTGCTACTAGTACTACCTACTACCGATGATAATAATAATAATAATAATAATAATAATAATAATAATAATAATAATAATAATAATAATAATAATAATAATAATAAAAGGCCCCCTTTGCGCACTGCTCGTTGAGCTGGGGCTTCAAACAGTGTGCACCACAGTTACACATTTGGGACGCGGACGGGTTTCGTCATGCGGAAAACAAATGACCGTTCGAAACACACCTTCAGCATGATTATACACTTACCCCATAGAGAACTGCTTTCAGGATGGCTTTGATCTCAGGCTCGAAGGTAGGGTAGAAGCTACCCTGAAGAGATAAGTGCGTTCAAGCATGTGTGTAAACTCTCTGCTAAATACACGACAGATTACGTCCCGAAACACACGACGGCACACGATGAAACTCAAAGCAAGCTACTTACGCCCGCATGCCTGAACACGTCGCCGAGCTTGCTCCGGAACAACGCGAATAATTCATCGTCGAGTTCAACAGCATCGAGCTGAAAATAGAACACGGTAATATGGACGTGAATGCGTGCCTGCCAATAAGTTCGAGCAAAGTTGGAGTACGTCGGAGTGACGCTTTCCAAATGAATGCACGGCCAGTAAGCAACCTTTGGCGGTCGTCTCAAATCACAGAATGCAATTTCTCACAGCAGCGTGATTATGACAGTAGAAGTAAGTTCACTGACTTGTAGACACACATAAACGAGTAAACGTTAGTGCGCGAAGAAACTAACGCAAATGAACGAAACGGTTTTGTGTTGCCTTGCACACAGAGGGCTACGCAGAGTCGTGCAAGCGCTACAACCACAGAATACAGTTGCACCGTACCTGGTTGACTCGAGAGCCGACGACTGGTTTCTCCGTGCTCATGTGGCACTGACCAGCGAAGTGTGCCTGCAAAAATTGACGCGTAGAGCACGTTAAAGGAAGCAGCGAATGGTGTAGGAAGTACAGCACGGGAAGGTGTCGTAACCAAAACTACCCAATAAAAAAGCGCAAGTTAAGGAAAGGTGGCATGAGAACGTTCTCAGGCACTGAGTCTTTAGCAGGTTACTTACTCCGAACCAAATATCAGAGAAGGCACGCACGACACAGCGAGAAAACGAGGAAAAGTTTCGCTAAAACTTGCAGAAGCGTAAGCAGAGTGCCGCCATACTGGTGATGGTGATGCCGATGGGAATAACAAAGATGGGACAAAGCTAGGCGTTTTTAAATCCGGGACAATCCACTTCTAAGTCAGTTCTTGTTTCGCCCACGTTTGTTTCAGTTTGCCATTGGTAGAGTAACTGTTATACCCGTGCCACACGGGCAGAAAAAATGGCATTTGCCCCCGAATGCCTTCAGATTTATTGCCATTCACGTGGTGCCACACGGGCGAACATAATGGCTTTCATCCGAATGCCATTCGCCACCAACTTTTGCGCTTGTATGTCGTTAATGTCACAGTATTCCAACGGCAGAAAAATGACCTAGGTCAGCTTTTCAGGGGCGTTGACGCTACTCATGGAACCCTAGTTAGGAGTTGTACTAGGTATTTACAGATGGTAAATTGTACTCATAACACGAGACCGCTCACACGTGTGACCAAGAAAAGGTGAAAAAAAAAAAAAACCTTTGATTGGTGATTGAAACCAAAGAGACACGTAAATGTGGTTTCAGCTGCCCGTTTCCTTTTCGGGAAATTTCAGCGCGTGCGACCAACGTTTCTAGAAATAGGTTCTAGAACGTTTCTAGAACCAAGTTCTAAGACGTTGCGTGCGAAAGCCGCAGTCCCACGCACTTTCTATTTACTCGTAAATTTTATGTCAATGTTGGTTTCAGCCTAGCCTGCACCATATTGTTAACCGGTTTTCGTTCAGTTGAGAATCTCTTGTGCTTCATTTTTTTTTTTTACTGTCTACAATGTGTCATTTTTCAAAGCAGTAATGATTGTACCCGTACATTAATCATTTTCCGTTATGTGCCGTTCTGTAACAATGACTAGCTTCTAGCTGGCTAAAGTGTCTAGACGGTTGCATTATCACATGATTTTATTGCTTGTTTGAAAGGTGCTGAAAGTCTGTTTTTTTTTTTACCAGGCTGTAAACATAATTTCAGAAAACAAGTAAAAACGAACCAGTACTCAGACAAAGGTCTCATTCCAATCCCGAAAGTATGTACTGAAACTCAGCCGCAACGCTGCGATGCGCCCGGCCGGGCGCCATTTTTGTTTAGGTTCTACACAGCAGACGACCTACGATTGCCACTGCGTTTTCGGTGTTTGAATGGTGTTGTGCAGTGTTCTCTTGTTGTCCTCGTCTGTTCTATTTAAGCAACTGTGGCGTCAGAAGATTCCTCAACTACAGCGTGCTGCATGGACTGGAACAAATGCCCCGGTAGCAACACAATGTTGCGCGTCAAGTTGCATCAAACCAACTATGGTCAACAGCGCGGTTTACGGTTGCTCCAACCGCACAAGAAACAAGTTCAACGACGAGAACTTTGAACGAGTAGGCTTCTGTGTCGTGCCGGAACTCAAACTCGGACAGTGTGCGAGGACAATTAACGGAGTTGTCGACGCGCAGAGCTTTATCACTGAGCAGAATCTTGTCACGGAGACCCGGACGAATCGGCGTGCGCGCGCAGAACTCCGTCAGACAGCCACGGTAAGATAAATCACGACAGTATAAGATAAACAAGTGTTTACCTTACACGATTAGATACTATGAGAATGACCCCCGGCGCGAAAAACAAGAGACAACACCAAAAATGGGCAAAATTGCGGAGAGCTGGGCTTCTTAGTTTTAGATTAATAGGAAACAGCACAAAAAATCACAAGCCACAAAGAAGGGGAACGCACACAGCGATCTGTGCATTCTTCGTTGAAATTGTTGAGTCAGCGCTGTGTGCGTTTCCTTTCTGTGTGTCCACGCTGTGGTTTTTCGCGCTGTTTTCTAACCAAAAGTGGCACCGGCTCACCAGGAGCACCACAGCGCCACATTGCGGCTTTGTTTCATTGCATGCTGCCAATACATAAATATTATTTACCCTAATGAACAAGAACAGCAAATGATTAATTATCCCCATTGATCTATATGACACTGTCATTATTATTTAATAATTATTATTATTAATGTATTAGAAAGTATTGGTAATTATTATTATAAGTAATGATGTCAATCGTTTGTCTGTTCGTTGGTAAGGAAACAGCAATAGTTTTGTTACCTTGTATCCACATCGCTGTAACCGGCTCTGCCGGGCCTAGTCACACAAGTCCTGGGGACTTAGACAGGCCCGTTTCTTTGTATTTCTTATGGATGTGTACAATAAATTATTATTATTATTATTATTATTATTATTATTATTATTATTATTATTATTATTATTATTATTATTATTATTATTATTATTATTATTATTATTATTATTATTATTATTATTATTATTATTATTGAACTGTGATATGAGGAGTAATTGGCGAGCAAATAAGCTACCGACCACCACTGACCTCTCGAAGGTACTGAGCATACAAAACACGAAATAGCCCCAAGGAGCAACAGCACATGCATGCGATCCAAAACTATCACTCGCCGTTCTAAATTACAATGTGCAGTTAGAACCATTAGTTGGAACTGCCCGCAGCGCACTCAATCCCACCAATTACGGAAACACACATTCGCATCTAACTGCAGTCTCATATTAATAGCGATATTGATATTATTACAGCACCAATTTCATCATCATCATCATCATCATATCATCAGCCTGACTACATCCACAGCAGGACAAAGGCCTCTCCTATGTTCCGCCAGTTAACTCGGACCTGTGCTTGCTGCTGCCAATTTATACCCGCAAACTTCTTAATCTCATCTGCCCACCTAACCTTCTGTCTCCCCCTAACCCGCTTGCCTTCTCTGGGAATTCAAATAGTTATCCTTAATGACCAGCGGTTATCCTGTGTACGCGCTACATGCCCGGCCCATTTCCATTTTTCTTCTTGATTTCAACTATGATATCCTTAACTCCCGTTTGTTCCCTAATCCACTCTGCTCTCTTTTTGTCTCTTAAGGTTGCACTTACCATTTTTCTTTCCATTGCGCGCTGCGTCGTCCTCAATTTAAGCTGATCCCTCTTTGTAAGTCTCCAGGTTTCTGCTCCGTAGCTAAGTACCGGCAAGATACAGCTGTTATATATCTTCCTCTTGCGGGATGGTGGCAATCTACCTGTCATAAGTTGAGAGTGCTTGCCAAATGTGCTCCACGCCATTCTTATTCTTCTAGTTACTTCAATCTCGTGGTTCGGCTCCGCGGTTATTGCCTGCCCTAAGCAGACATAGTCTTTCACAACTTGAAGTGCACTATTACATACCTTGAAGCGCTGCTCTCTTCCGAGGTTGTTGTACATTACTTTCATTTTCCGTAGATTAATTTTAAGACCCACCTTTCTGCTCTCATTGTCTAGCTCCATAATCATGAGTTGCGATTCATCCCCTAAGTTACTCAGCTATGCGATGTCATCGGCGAAGCGCAGGTTACTAGGGTACTCTTCATTAACTCTTATCCCTATCTGTTCCCAGTCTAGGCCTCTGATAACCTCCTGTAAGCACACGGTAAATATCATTGGGGAGATTGTACACCCCTGCCTTACGCCTTTCTTGATTGGTATTCTGTTGCTTTCTTTATAAAGCACTATGGTAGCCGTTGATCACCTGTAGATTTCTTTCAGGATGTTTATGCTTCATCGACGCCCTGCATGATTCCGCAGTGTCTGCAATAAATCGGTGCAAAGCACCGATTCATTTCGATTGAAGTAAAAAAAAAACACCACAGTTCCAAAGCACATAAACGCCTTGTATTATTGTAGCCTGAGTCTAAGTGTAAATTCAGGTCGGCAAAAATTATAAAAAAACTGCTCGATTTATGTTGAATACCCAGCGTTATTTGCGGTCCAGCCTTACATAAGCTATTAGGGAACAAATACTTATTTCGAAACTAAGGCACCCATTTCAAACAGTGCCGCGGCTCTTTCCAAGCAAGTGACCTGCTGCTGTTCCTCTATGCAGTCCTCAACAATTATCGATGCCATCTAACGGCAAAACACGCGTGCACTTCGTCCTACATTGCTACTCAGCGTTCCTACCACACATATTATCGCAAACTCGGTGACCATGGTACCCTGCATGGTTAGCGCCCCCAATAGCGAGAGCACGCCTAGCGTGAAGGACTGCAGCTCACCTCACGACGGCGTGCGGTGTACACGAGCGCTTCACGTCGCGAGGAGAAAATGACAGGCAGCTGGTGCTGATCAGAAGTGGTCCGCGGCCTCGACGGACTGCGACCTTCCCAAGCACGGCTGCTTCCGCTCAGAGCACGTCCGTCAAAGCTTCTTCGGTCGATCCGTCACGTCTCGTACTAAGTGGACTACGGGGGCATCGAAATAAGTACAGAGCAATTGCGTCCGTCATGTACAGCGCGTGCAGCTCTCAGCTTGTGTACACGAGCTAGAATCGCGCGTAACCGACTTGCAGGCCGAGAAAACGTGACAAGAGTACCAAGGTTCGGGTCACGCGGCGTGACTGCTAAATTCCACACGTACTGCTCGTCAAAAGCGCGGTTTCTTTGTCTCAAAGCCTACTCCAAGTTGCCTTTCGCCGTCACTGCAGACGGGTTCCTTCCGGTGCGTATGCAGCAATGGAGGAAGCATATGCGGCGCAGAATATGCGAGACGTTGTTCGCGTCACCGTTCGTTGTGCCATCCGAACAGTCGCACCGTGCGTAGCGAACAATTGACGGAACGGCCGTATCCGCGTGGTTAGTATTTGGTAAGCATGCAAGGCTTCCCCACAGAACATCTATATACTACCATTTGGTTTCCCCCTGTAACGGTATACGTCTTGTGAGAGAGATTCGCAAACTGTGACACGTCTGCTAGCTACTTTCTCTAATTCTACGCTCCATTCACTTTTTTGCTTGTTACAGCAGTTAGTCGTCTGCGGAGAGCTTCGTCAGGTTGTTTCCCCCCATCAGACGCAACAACGGAGGCGCTGGAGAAGCGCCGGTAGGAGGGCCATCTACTTGCTTGGAGAGGCGGTGACGCCTTCTATTGCGTGTTTCCGAAGCATTTTTAGTGATTATTAGTTGATTATTGTAATCGCTTCTTGGTCGTGCCTGTAAATTAT